AGAGAAGTGGAGGGGAAGAGTGGAAGGGGCGGAGCGGAGAGAGGTGGGGGTAAGCTCTACTGCCCAGCGCCGGGGGCTGTGACACCGTCGCGGGGCAGGCTCTTTAGCGAGGGGCCTGAGCGCGCCTGTACGGCGGGGGGCGGGGGCTCGCCCGAGCGCGGGAGGGCCTGAGCGGGGCAGGCGCGGAGATCGACCGGTGCCGGTGCGGATTGGGGCGCGCCGGGAGCGCAGGGGGGGGGTTGTGTGGTGGGCCCGCAACTGGGCCCCACCCACCCCCCTGTGGGCGAGAATAGGCGTTCGGCCGAGCAACCGGCTTCCGGGCGGCGTTTGGCTTGTTTGCGGCGACCGTGGCCGCGGCCAGCATATTGTGTCTGCTGGAGATGGCTGCTGCCTGGGGGTGGTGGGCGCCCGCGGCGGCGGTGGTCACGGCGGTGGTGGTGGAGGCGGCGGCGGTCGCGATTGGGGCAAGCCCGGTCCGGGCTCATGTACGTGTGTGGTGTGTGTGTGTGTACCGCGGCCCGATCGGGCGATGCTGGGTCTCGGGCGGCGGGGGACCAGGCAAGTGGAGGGAGCCGGGCGCGATCGCGCCGGGATCCGCCCTGGGCTGGCAGCCGGGCCTGGGGCCGGGTCCCGAAAGGCCCAATCGGCACCGGGGGCCGCTGGGGGTGGGTGGTCCCCGGGGATGGGGCGGGTGGGCTTGCCCCTCCGGCTCGCGGCCGGCGTCCGTCCCGGATGCCCCCCGTTCTGGGGGATAAAAAAAAAATACACCACACGGCAAGCACGGTTTCCCCGGGGCGAGAGAGGCGGCGCACCTGCCTTGGCACCGGGGAATGGGCGGACGAAAATAAGGGGGGGGGGACATATTTTTATCGTGCCCGGCAGGCCTAGGGTTTTCCAATCAAGTCAAGGGTTGCCGATGCGGCGGCCCGGTCCGGTGGGACCTGGGCTGAGTTGCCGATCTCGCCGGCCTGGCTCGTCGTGGAAAGGCCACAACAAGCGGAGGAGGGGGCGGGGGCGGAGTCGCCGGGGTGTCGGCCGTGCCGTGAGGCCCCTCACGGGCCTCGCCCCTCCCCCGGCTCGCCTTCTGTCGCTGCCTGGGGGATGCGAGGCCCGTCCCCTCGCCCCCTCCTCGCGCCCCCGCCGCGCCGGGTCGGGACCATACCGCCCGGCGACGCGGTGACCGACCTGCAGGAATGGCCTGACGCGCCGCCGGGGGATCTCATCGGCTGCTCGCGGACCTGGCCCATGCCGCGCGGGACCCGGGCGCATTTGCAGGCAAGCAGGCGCACACAGCCTACCCGCACAGGGCGCGGCCGGTGGGGCTGTATTTCCCCTGATCCTACGCTGGTGCACGCCAGCCGCGTCTCCGGGGGGGGGGGGGGGGGGGGGGGGGGGGGGCGGCGAGAGGACGGGCCGGGGGCCCTCTCTGCGGCCCAGCGACACCCCTGCCCGGGCCCCCTGAGCCAAGTTACGGTGCGCCGACTGACGCGTGCGTGCGCGCGCGCGCGCGCTCCCTCTCGCTCTCTCGCTCTTGCACACATTATTCTTTTCTCGCCCCCTCTCAGGCAACGCAAGGCCCGGCGCCTGTGCATGGCCCGGGGCAGCGTGTGGTTAACAATGGGTGCAGCCCCGCCAGGCCCCCGCCCCCGCCCCCGCCTGTGCAGGCGTCTGCATACATATGCACATACACATGCCTGACCTATCATGGGTTTGGGCCATCGGACAGGGCCAAGGGCAGGACATCCAGGCGCCAGGGGGGTCTGTAGGCCGC